GCACTCAGAAGATTTGGTGGTCTGTAAATCGCCAGAAATTCTATATTTGTGTATATGTGTATATGTGTATATTGAAGGGTTACAGGCAGAGCCCTTGATGACCCTATTTATGTACAGTGCTTTCGCAGATTCATACTCAAAAATAAAATACAATTGCAGGCATTCAAAATGTGATTGGGTCACAGTTCAATCGTAATCATAAAGTAGTGCATAGGGTCACCGTAAATTAGTGCGGAAGATCGTATATGACAAATTTTACAAAACTGGCTGCGCATAGTCATGCTGTACAAGTCGATTTCTGTCGAAAACTAGACGAGCAAGTTTTATTTTAAACAGACAAGCTGTGTCCACCATTACCATCTCGCTTGGAAGCGAGTTCCACGGCCTGAAAACCCGCTGGCTGAATGAAAATTTTCGTCGGTCTAAATGCGTGCGCTCATTACCGACTTTGTAGGCATGGCCGCGTAGTTGGTTTGTACGGGTAAACTCAAAGAAGTCCTGTGCTCTTAATGAGCAACCCTGGCCGCGGACTGTCCGGAACGTCCAGAGTAGACTGCAGTTTATTGTCTATAAGAGAGAGGGAATATGCCAAGCAAATTCAGCCTCTCCTGATAAGACAAATGCTTTAGACCGTCGACCATCTTTGTCGCTCTGCGTTGCACATGTTCGAGTAAGTTGATATCCTTCCTCATCCATGGGGAAGCTGCTGGCATTCCATACTCTAGATGAGGTCTTACAAAGACACCAAAGAGTCTTTCGAAGTATCGGGAGGAAATATCTTAAATGCACGTCTGATCCAGTGTTGACTACTAGTTGCCTTCTGGACCATCTTTCTGCAGTGTTCTGATGGCGATAGATTTGTGATCATCCATACAAACAGATCTCTGTGTCTTTTCACATTTTCTAACTTCGTCGCGTCAATATAGTACTGGTGTTTGGGAGAGGCATTGCGGCCGGTGTTCAGGTGCAAAACCACGCATTTGGACACGTTAAACTTCAAAAGCCATCTGTTCGACCAAGCACACAGTTTGTCGATGTTCGACTGCAACTTCTCTGTGTCATCATCAAACTTAACTTCACTCCACATTTTCATGTCACCCGCGAACATGAGGGCCTCGCAATTCACTTTGCTCATGCAGTCATTAACATAAATCAGGAAGAGTAGTGGGTCTAAGACAGAGCCCTGTGGGACAGCACTTTCCACCTTTGCCCATCCCAAGGTAAAGTTACCAACGACAACTCTTTGTAGTCTGGAGGACAGAAAACTCCTGATCCACTAAAATATTTTT